GATGCCCGTATACTCCCATTATTTGTATGCTGGGCTTAAGTTTCCAATTCCGGAGTTGCTAATAGGTTTGTTGTTAGATTACAACATAGGGTTGACACAGTTGGTCCCCAACGCAATGAGGGTAATAATAGGTTTTATAGTTTATTGCCGAGCTCAGGGGATCAGTGTGCCAACCGTTAATATGTTTAAATATTTTTTTGTTTTAAAGGGGGGTAGCAGAAGAGATAAGGGGTGGTATTATTTCACCCCGATGGTAGCTAATAAGGAGGGTAGGATTTTATTCACAACGGGTCCTTCATCCATTAAGGGATGGAAGGAAAAATTTTTTTTTGTAGATGATACTGAGTGGGGGAAGGGGGATGCCGAGGTGAGGGCGTTAGCTTCCTGGAAGGCCAAAAGGGCCAACCAGAATAGGTTTAGTTTAAATAGGGATGAAGAGGAAGAAGTGGGGAGGTTGGTGAGGAAGAAGGGGGATGTATTGAACATTATGGACCTCACCAGCGCAGCATGCATAGAGGCTGCTGAGCTTTATGGGCCAAGCGCTCTGAGTGAAGGTTTGTTTGATATATACTGCAGTGTTAAACGTAGAACGTAGAATTGTGACTAATATTTTGTTTCTTGTTGTGTAGCTGACATGGATCAATTTTTGAGCACTGCTGGAAGGAAGGCCATCCCCAAGAAGCCAAGGAAGAAGTCACGGACTTCAGCCAAGCAAGTGGATGAGGGGAAGGTTGGGAAGGAGGTGGTACCCTTAGCATCAACTGAGGTGGAGGAAGAGGTGCCACCGTTGAAGAGGAAGGGTTGGGAGGAGAGGAGAGCAGTGGAGAAGAGGCAGAAGGTGGTAGAGGAGGAGGGAAGTGGGGTGCCTGAGTTCGTACCTCAGACAGTTGGAGGAGGGGGCTGAGGTACGGGCTCCTGGTAAGGGGAAGGGCCCTGTTACCTCGGCGGTGTCTCAGAGCAGCCTGTTCGAGGCGAAGAACATGATGGGGGCTAGATGGTTTATCAACAACACCTTCCCCGAAGTGGACAAACGCCACGCGCGAGAGGAGGCTCTGAGGTACGGAGGAGCTTCTGTGGTGAAGCACGTCCTTGAGGTATGTTAAATTAATGTTGCTGTTTACTTATTCTGTTTCTTCTCTTTTGGTTCTTTGAACTTCTGCTTTGATTTGCAGAGCGCGAGCTGGGTGAATGGTCTAGCCCAGGAGTTCAAGGAGGGTGTAAAGCCGCGCGCACTCTTGCAGAAGCAGTGTGACCAGCTGCAGAAGGAGAAGGAAGAGCTGGAGAAGAAGAATAAGGAGATGCAAAGAGTCTCTGAATGAGGTGGTTCCAGGTATGAAGCAGTTGGAACAGGAGAGGGCTTCCTTGGGCACCAAGCTCGGCTTTGAAGAGACCAAGCGAAAGATCTCTGAAAACGAGCGTGAGGCTCTGGCGCAAGAGTTAAAGCTGACAAAGGAGGCTTT